CTGCCTGGGTGACAAAGAGGCGGTGGAGCCCGGGCTGTCGGGGCCTTGCTCTCGCCTCAGGTAGAGAGCGGAGCCGTCGAGGGGCTCTGGAAGTGTCGGACTCGGTTTCCGCCTTCCGCTCCTGGCTGAACACCTGCAAAGTAATTCTGAAATCTTATTTTCATCCCTGTGCTTCCGTAGCGTAGCTTGATTTATTCCCCATCCCTGTTCTCCTATCCTTACTGCTCACCCTTCTGCCTTTCAGAAGGGTTTAAATTGTACCGATGACACAGGAGAGTATAGAGAAATATGGTAGGAGGCACTGTTGCAATAAGAGGTGACTGACTCACTTGGGCCTCACCTTAAGAATAGTGATAGTAATTGTAGAGCTTTATGTAAGTATAATATTGTTTTGGAGTATCAGTGGGACACGAAATAATTTTTCAGTCTTAAGTCATCTTTACCTAACTTGCAAGCAGACCTGTTTTTTTTTTTTTTTCCTTTTGTTTTGTTGCAGAGGAGTGTGAAAAGGGAGGTATTGCAACTGGGTTCCTGACCGGCTTTGTACTTTCTGTTGCAAGTTTGCTAGTTGTGCAGATCAGTGTTTTTCAAATATCTTTGATCAGAAACTTGACCTTCATACAATATTTTGGGCTGCTCTTTTGTTTGTATGTGTATTCCTGTGTTCTGGCTATGCCAACAGCTTTAATTGCCAGCCCTAGAGGTGACCTGAATGCAAAAAAATAATGGTGCCTTTTCCTCTTTACTTTCAAATACCCCAAACTCCAGCATAACTGCATTTGACTCCATTAGCAGTTCTTAAATTCTGGACTCCCAAGGTAAAACAGTACTGTAGCCTAACTGCAGGGTGCGTCTGGAGATACATGGTATGTCAAGAGCCATTCATGTGTAGGCAGAATGATTCCTTCCTGTGTTGTTACTAGTCCTGGGGCTCTTCTTAATGATCAATCTGAAATGTCTTTTGAGGTGCAGGCCCATTCAGACTGGCCCATTTTACATGTGTGGAAGAGAGGAAGAAAACAAAGGCTCAGATATTCACAAAGACTTTTAATGCTTTGTGGCTAAGATTTAGTGTTGTTCAAGAGAGTAGTATTTGTGAGGTGTTTTTATATATATCTGTTGTCTCCTGCTTTCAGGGCATGAAGAGACAGCACACAGGAGAAACTGTTAGTAGCCCAGATGTATATCTGCATATCCATATTCTAATACTGCATTGTTTTGCATCTCCCTTTGTCTGTCTTGAAAGCGTGAGAAATTTGAGGACAGGGCAAAGGTGGTTAGCAGTCTCCAGCTTAAAAGTGCTCAGCAAAAAAAGCTGTTTTTTCTAACCATTTAGTATAATCCGTATCATCTGCTCATGTTGATATTCACTGGCAAAATTATAGGTATATTTTGTTTCCATAAATATTTCTTTTTTTCTTTGTGCAAAAATTCCCTAAATACTGGAAAGCTCAGTTTGTCTCAAGCTTTTTAATACAAGCTATTCAATATTTGTTTCAGATTGTTGATATTGTTGTTGGGAAAGATGAGAAAGGCAGAAAGATTCCAGAATATCTGATCCATTTTAACGGTTGGAACAGAAGGTAAGAACCTGTATGCACAATTTCAGTTCTTCTATTTCTTCTGTTTTGTTGTGCAAATAAAAGCATTACCCAGAATATCAAAGGACTTTGATGTTTGCATGAATATTTTTGGTTTTGTGAATGCCTTTAATATACTTGCTCATGTTGACACATTGGTCTGTATCTGTAAATTTCAGTGGGTCAGTTTGATAGCCATGAGTTTACACTTTATGGGACATCTGTCTTTGGCATATACTTGTGGCTCCTAGGTTTCTATTAATAAAAGGAGTTTATACTTTGTTAAATCTAGGCCTGGATTGTTTGGTTATCAAAACCGGTATGAGTGCAGTCTCTGACTGTGATCTATAGCATGTGTCAGTGCTACAAATTCTATCTCCTGTTTGAGAGATTTTAGATAGCAGCATGAGAGTTGAAGCCATGTGAATACAAAAGGATGCAAAGCTTGTGATACAGATGTTGCTTCTGAATGACATTGAATGCTTTTTAGATTTAATGTATGCTGATTCATTAGTAATCATCAGTGACACATATTTATAGCTGTTAATAATGTTCTTTTGACCTATCCTTAGCTGGGATAGATGGGCAGCTGAAGATCATGTTCTTCGTGACACAGATGAAAACCGCAGATTACAGCGTAAATTGGCACGGAAGGCTGTGGCTCGCATGTAAGAAATCCTTTTGGTCTCAAAATGAATGAGAGATTAATTTCAGATTCGAACAGACACATCCAGGTGTCTACAAGTGAGCTTGGACTCTAAGCTTATGCTGTAGATGGTAGATACCTATTCAATACAGTCGGTGCATTCTAGAGAGCTACTCATACTAAGGTAGATACCTACATATTGTTATTGAACAACACTCTAAATGACTAACACTTAATAACGTGTGTTATTCTTAACTGTTGCTGCAAAATGCCTATGTATTGGATCTACATCTTCCCAGAGAAATGTACTTGAAAAATAACTTTGGAAAACCCGAAGTATTTTTCAGCCAGAGGCAATAATCTAATATTGGTTGGCCATGGCTTAAGGGTCTGCTTGAGAGCATGAATATGAGGTAGTGTATGGACATTAAGATAGGCAAATAAGCATTGTCCAAATTACTTCAACATTAGTTAATTAAAATAATTCAAACATACATTTCCTGTGCATTTACATGTAATGCAATTAGCTGAGATAAACAAATTAAATAATACTAGCTAAATTTCAGCAAACCATTTTATGTTCTGTAGGAGAAGAAAGGGAAGAAAGAAGAGACGTTGCAGGTTGCCTGGTGTTGACTCTGTATTAAAAAGCCTTCCTGCATGAGAGTAGTGAAAACTGTGAGCTTGTTTTCATTCTTTGATAACTGACGTGATGCCTTTAACTTTTTGAACTAGGGGTACAGTGCATGCTGTAACTCGCTGTTAGGATGACATGAGAGTCTCACAGTCCTATTTGAAATATATGGAGGCAGTCACCTGAAGAGCGAGTGCTATGTTTCGTGCTTAGTATCTATTAAAGTTAAGATATCTCCTTTCTTCTTGTGTTCCAGAGGCTTTTCCTTGTGTCACTTCCACTCAACTCTTTTAATGAGTAATTTCAGAGTTTAATGCTGCTTTGTTTAGTGTAGTATTGTGTGGTGCAAGAAGCCCTGGGTTTTCTTTGTTTGATGTTAGGAAACAAGACACTTTCCCTGCTAGTGTTTTTTATGTATTTTAGGGGGGCAATAAGATTTTCTTTTTCCCCAGTCTACCTGGCACAAAGGTCTGTTTCTTGTCAGCTGAATGGCTGATTTCACCCTCAAGCCAGCTCTTTAGTTTCATAGCATTTTTCTTTGTAGCTTGAGAACCAGCAGGAACACTGGCTGGCACTTAACTGAAGTTCTGGCAACTGTTGCTGCACAGATCCATACCTTCTGATTGAATGATTAATACATTAATCCTCTGTTCAGAACTAAAGTCCAATAAAAATTTAAAAAATCTGTGAGTGTTCAGAAATGTAGGGAGCTTTTAAAAGTAAATGTTTTTTAATTAGAGAGGATGCAGGAGTACTTCCTGTAAACTTATTGTCTTACATATTTAAAAAGGTTATCGTATGCTGTAAATAATGTTTGTGTGTTTAATTCAGTTAGAATTATTCATCCTCATAAAGTATAATAAGCTAGTTGTTGTGTTTGTTTTGTTTTGGGTTTTTTTTTGCATCGAGCCCTGAAATTGTTTGGCTTTAACCTCTGCAATATAATAATGTGAGCTAAATATGTGAAATTTCTTTTACACAGCTATAAGTAGTTCTTCTCCTGATGACAGTGATGAAGGAACAGATGAAGAAATAAAAAGTGAAGAAAGTGATATAGAAGAGAGGACAGAAATGGTATATTCATGAGCTCTATATCTTAGTAGAATTTAAACATCTGTATTTGAAACTCAGGAAAAATTAAAGTGGGTGAAATATAGGCCACAGCTGGTTATTTAGCTGGAATTATAAGCATAATTTGCTTACTCACAGTGCTTACTGTGGTTGAGTTTTTGAAAATTATAGAAGATGTTGTATTTTTGTAGAATTCTTTGATATTAATCTAAAAATACACAGTTGTTTCTTTTTCCCTCTTTCTGCATGTAATATGTGGAGAAAACTTAGCAAAGTAGATTATCCAGATTTGTGGGTGCTGTAAATTCTACTGGTCTATGCAGGTTGGGCAAATCCTAATAGCAGCAGAATCTTTCTGGCTTTGTATTTTACTGTGAAACGGGCATGTCAACTCTGGTCTTAAATTAAAATGTAGAAGACTTAGTTCAAGAAAAAACATCCATTTCCTCTACATTATTGAAAAGAAAGTACAGCCTAACCAGTTATTCTGAAGGTCTGTGGAATCTTAAGTACTACAGTGTGGGTGATCTGAAGCAGCAAAACTAATTTTCTGTTCCTTCTTCTGAGTTAAATACTTAAGCGAATGCTAAATTAAAAAAAAGGTTTAAAAACATGATTTAGCAGATGACTTCAAAGCAGTATTGTCAAACTGATTACAGTAAGGCTACTGTCCACTTGTTTACTGTACTTTATATATTTTATTTTTGCATGACAAAACTTGATTGTTGTATTGTATCCTGACTGCTGAAGTTATTTTTCATTAATATTCATAAGCACAACCAATATATTGTTTCTTGCACTGTTCTGTTGTAGAAAGAAGAACAAGACACTCACACAAAAAGGGACATGGAAGAAAGAGCAATAAGCATAGAAATACCTGAAGTCTTGAAAAAGAAGCTTGAGGAAGACTGTTACTACATTAATAGAAGAAAACGGGTATGAAATAAAAAGCTATGAAATGAATGTGCATGGGTGGGTGCGGAGGGCATCAAAAGTAGTTCTTATGTATGACAGCTCCCATTGTTTTGAACTTTATTGCAAAGGTGAGCTTAGACAGTATAAGGAGGAATAAGAAGAGTGTAGGGGGCAGACTTCTTTATTGCTATAATCAGTGAATTGTCTTTATATTTGAGAATGTAACATTTCAGTACACAGTTGTGTTTTAGAGTGCAGATTTTTTTTTTTTTTAAGGCTGGAAATGTTGTAAGCTTGTTAACCTGACCATATTTTTGTTTCTCCAGGTGTTCATAAAGGATTGATCAAAAATGCAGTTTAAGGGTTCAAATTAATCACTCCTGAAATAACGTCATGCAATAGAGACTTGTTAAACTAGTCAAAACATTACCAGCTCCTGCTTTAGCTTGGTGTACTTACTAATTGTTTTTGTAAGACATTAATTTGTTGTTTCCTTTTCAGCTAGTGAAGCTTCCTTGTCAGACAAATATAATAACCATCCTGGAGTCATATGTGAAACATTTTGCTATTAATGCTGCTTTTTCAGCCAATGAAAGGTCTCGGCACCATCAGATGACTCCACATGCTAATGTGAATCTTCATTATGTGCCACCAGAGAAAAAGTAAGTAGTCTTTAGTCCAACACTGTTGTCACAAGAAGAATTGCCTCACAGTCCGTGTTCTGTTTCAAGGCTGTTCACTTCTGTGAGCTTATACTGTGATGTATGGCTGTTTATGGGGCTTGAAATATTTGAGGTACCTATAGTACAGTAACACAATTTGTTTATCAGTGAAAGAGTCCCTATAATCTGAGAAGTCATTATGCAAAAGCCTCAAATTCCCCTTTTATCACGTAAGTTCTGGTGAGTACTGTGACATGTTTTGGAAGAATGTGTTGCTATTGTCTATGTGAATATTTTTTTGAGCACCGAGAGAGCATCTGATATGAGAATTCCCTGCTTAAATAAAACTGAACAGATTCGAATTTTATAAAGGATAAAAATTTTATAGAAACACTTAGAGAGAACTCCAAGTCAGGTGTTTTTTAGTTGACATACCATCTTAAATCCTGGAGTCAATATGTAGAAAAGTAACACCAATCCTGTTTATTGAAATTGATTGTGTCTTAGTTGCTGTATTCTCAGCTGAGCTCTATATTCTTCTGCTGTGCTACAAATGCAATCTGTTAACACTGCGTGTTTGCACTGTTTGTTTTTTTCCCCTGTTATGTTAAAGATTCTCAATATTAGATGAGAATAGAAGTAGACTTCTTTAAGTCTACACTGGCGTGAAGTCTTGTATTTTATGAAAGAGAAGTCTTGACTTTTGTTACCACCTTCTAGTTCAATGGTGCATAATTGTGCTGTTCCTTGCAATATTTTGGTCTATGTGAGTGTCTTGGGTTATATTGATGTCATTCATTATGTGACAGATTAATGATACTTTCCTTCTTTGTAACATAATCTCCCAAACAAGAAGTTAGATGAGACATCAGAAATAGGAACAGAAGATTGTATGCACTTTATGATTTTTAAAGGTGTATGTGTGACTTCCTCAATAAAGAAAGTGCTTTAATGAGGAAGATGTGTGTAACTTCAGTCATCCATTAAGTAGGAGAGATTCAGCTGACAACTTTATTGTATTGCGCTTAATGCTGTAACACAGAAGCTAGTTGACTTTCTAGGATGTGGTAGAATTTCTGCACCTGATGGTCCCTGACCCAATTTTTATATAGTGTTAAAAAAAAAAAAAGGCAGTAATTTTGGCTGGTGGTATGGAATGGTAATAGGAGGTATGGAATTTCTAACGTGGGTTATTGTGGTAGAATCGAATTACTGTTACAGTATGCGTATGCACTTGAGACGCGAGAGGTGAATACCTTCGTAGAGGTCAGAGGTGTTGGAGATGGGCTGGATTCAGTGTTCTTAGTTCTGCTTGTAACAGCACATCTACTCACCACCTAGCACTGCAAGTCCTTTACACAAGCCCAGATCTGAAATTCCTGGTAGCGTCTAAATGTAGTGCTTTGGTTATCGGGAGCAGGCCATTGGAAGCTGAGCTCCGATGCAAATGTATCTCTTTTTGTTGGGTCACTGGATATCTCTTAAGCACAGCCTCAACTGCATCTTAAAGGCTATAGATCAAATTCTGCACCTGCCTTCAGATTCAATCTGCCTAGAGATTCAATCTATTGAGTCCTTACGTCTTGTCACAGGTGCCTCTTTTTTGAGCCTAGTAAACTTGGGAAAACAAAACAATGCTTACATGAAAAACTAGCTTTATTTACTGTAGATTTTATTAATCCAGTAAATAGTAATACAACAGAAAAACTGTATGATTTTGTTTGACCTTTGTTTGACCAGACTTCTAAAATTTGTATTTGTCTGAAGTTATTAAGTTATCGCTGTCTCCCTTGGGTATGCTTTTAATCACTTGTCATTACTTATTAATTAAGTCAGTGTTATCATAGTTAAGACATTAATGGTCTGTATTAAAGGGAAATTCCTACAACTACAGTGAAAAATTTTGTCACGCAACTTTGAAATTCATACTCTTTTCCCCTCCCCCAGTGTTGAACTATGTAAAGAGATGGTGGATGGGCTGAGAATAACCTTTGACTTCACACTTCCATTAATTTTGCTCTATCCTTATGAACAAGCTCAATTTAAGAAGGTGACTTCATCAAAATTCTTTCTTCCCATCAAAGAAAATTCAACAAATACTAACAGGTAGGTTGGGTGTACAGAGTCTTAATACTGCTTATCTCCTGAGGAAAATGCAATAGAATGTGGTTATGTGTTTAGAATAGGATGATTTCTCACAGACTTTAAGTTAAAAATTGTGTTGATAAAATGTTGAACTTTTCTGTGAATTGGCTGCCTGAATTCAGGTTCTGAATTTCTGTCTTGTTAACTTCAAAAGGGTTTTGTACTGACTGGTGTAGAGTTACACTGCAACTTTGCAGGGGAAAAATCATACTGAAATGTAAATTTACGTTAATTAACTTTTAAGTTTGAAAATAAATACGCTTCTGGAAAATAGTATTTCAAGGAAGGCCTTATCACTTTGATAGTTATTGGGAGGACACTGTCTAGTTTGAGTAAGTACTCAACAAGGTATGGGAAACTAGAAGGATCTCTTTTTGGGGAATAGCCCTGATTTCTTCTTTTGTAAAGCTGCCATTATTTTCTAGGAATCAGGAGGAGCTTTCACCAAGTCCTCCTCTGTTGAATCCACCAACACCTCAGTCAACTGACAGCCAGCCTACAACAGGGGAGCCAGCCACACCAAAAAGACGAAAAGCTGAACCTGAAATTCTGCAGTCACTGAGACGTTCTACACGTCATAGCTCAAACTGCGACAGGTTATCGGAAAGCAGTGCTTCCCCACAACCTAAACGACGGCATCTTGAGACGCCAGCTTCTATGCCAAAGCTCTTCTTGCACCTGGAAAAAAGTAGGTTTTGCTCTTTAAATTATTGCTCTAGACAAGATTTTAAGTCTTTTTTTTTTTTTTTTTTTAATGTCGTCTGGACTGTGAACTGAATTACTGAAGTAGAAATTCATTACTTTTTGTATCATTTATCTCTGAAGCTTATACCAAAGGGAGAAATACAAAGCAGTATTCTTGGTGCTTTGGTACTGTATTTCTCAACAGAATTCAAGGAGCTGCTTTTCTGTGAGCCTGCTTTAGGCTAGCATTTATTGAATTCCAATAAACATTTTAGCAGCAGGCCTTCCTTACATTTAATGTTCCATAAAACAGGTAATAAAATTTATTTCTAATTTCTTTTGTTTTATTTTGCCTTCCCTTTTGAAGAAACACCTGTCCATAGTGGATCTTCTTCACCTATAACTTTGACTCCTAGCAAAGAGGGAAGTGCAGTTTTTACTGGCTTTGAAGGTAGAAGAAACAATGAATTGAATGAGGTGAGATTTTTTTTTTTTTTGCTACTGTTGTAGTTTTATACAACACAGCCACTTGCTCACTCCCCCCCCTGCCCTCCCCTCCCAGGGATGGGGGAGAGAATTAAAGGGGTAAAGGGAAAAGAGACTCGTGGGTTGAGATAAGAACAATTTAATAACTAAACTACAATAATGTTGGAAATAATAATAATGATGATAACAGCAATATGTACAAATGAGTGATACACAGTGATACTGTTCACCAGCCACTGACCAAGGCTTAGCCTGTTCCCAGCTAATGATCCTGGAGTAGGGAGGGTCCTGAAACCACAATCCCAGAAAAGAAATGAGCCTTGGTCCAAGAGACCAAGATGACCCTGAGGGAGGGTGACCCCCGGGGAGACAACCTGGAGCCAGAGAGAACTTCTGGAGAAGAGCCTCATCTGCATGCTGGGCACTGTGTGCATGATATGGAATAGACTATTGGCCAATTTGGGTCTCAGTCCTAAAGCTAAGATCAAATCCTAGGCTAGTAGTTGGGGCTGTGCTCCCTCCTAGCTTCTCCTGCACCTCCAAACCACTGGCACAGCAGAGAACTGAACAGTCCTTGACTGTCCTGGCAGCAACTATAAACATCAGTATGTGTTATCAGACACCTTCTCAGCACAGATCTAAAATGCAGCTTCTTACCAGCTACTATGAAGAAAGTTAACTCTGTCTCAGCTGAAACCAGGACAGTTACTGTCCTTGATTCAATGATTAAAGGTTTTGTTGACCTCAGAGTAGGGTATGTAAGAAAAAGTTTTGTTTGTATTACTTATTTCGTCTTTGTTTTCGAAGTTCTGCACAGACTAAATTATTTATGGTGCTATAAAGATTTAATAGCCAACATTTTCATGTCTTATGTTTAGGTTTTGTCCTGGAAGCTGATGCCAGACAATTATCCACCAAGTGATCAACCGCCACCTCCCTCATATATCTATGGATCTCAACATTTGCTACGGATGTTTGGTAAAGTGATGCACAACTCCATGCTAAATGAAAATTATTTTATTTTGGTTTTTGTTTGTTTGTGTTTTTTCAGTGACCATATCCATGTGATTTTCTGTTTACTTGATCACACTTAGTTTTATTCTTGGATGAGTGTACATCTTAATATGTTCAAAACTCTTAGGCCATTCATAAACTTGCTTATCTTTTACTGGCTCTGTAAGCCTTCATTTAACAAAAGTAAACAAGCATTACTTCCAATACACTGTCAGACATCATTAAACCAAGCAGCATTAACTTTCTCAGCATGTTTCTTTCTAGTAAGACTTTGAAAGATCACCGAATAACTTGCAAAGAAAAGTGGAGGCTGCCGGGAGGATAAATATTTATATTATTCTTTTCTGTATGGTGGATAAAAGTAATTAGAAGTTGCTTTAAGTGAACAGGTGTATAACATTATTTATCTTATTTACAGTAAAGCTACCAGAAATACTGGGGAAGATGTGCTTTCCGGACAAAAACCTGAAGGCTTTAGTAAAACACTTTGAAATGTTTCTGAGGTAATGTGACAAAATGTACCACAGCAGTGTTTGCATTGTTAAATAAATCTAAGTATCCTGGAATGACAAAGGGTTTTTAAAATAAGATGTTCATGTTCTGTAATGACAAGGATATGATAAAATTATAAGATTTTTGTAGTAACAAATTGAATAAAGTTTAATACAGTATTTTTGATTCTGTAATTCAAATTGAAGGGAACCTGAACTCTCTACTTAAAATTTTGATAGACACAGTGCTAGAGAACTGAAGTATGAAAGTTTATGTGCTAATATGTATAGAATGACAAATCTGACTTAGTTAAGAAGCATGTTTTATGAAACTCTGCATTGTTATTTTTGAAAGCATAATCTGAGAGTTTTGATGTTGCATCAATATTTGCAGGGGGAGAAACTTGTGGTTTAGAACATGTTTTTAATTATGTTAGGGTTTTTTAAAAGAAAAGTCTGTCCTAACTGAGCTTTAAACAGAAAGGTTTCTCTCTGTTATACAATGCAGTGGCTTGTAGAGGAACCCCAACTCTTTCTGACTGTGCTAACTCCATGGCTGGAGTCAATGTGGTCATACCTGCACCATGATCAGCTTTGTTTGTCAGGTACTCTGGTTAGTATCTCTGCATGATATTGTAGTGTTTCTTCATACCCATCCTATGGATGAGGTGTGATGGAGTGGAATAAACACGAGAAGGAAACATATACCCCACTCTGCATACAAGTAGGGAAGTGATTAAACTGAAAGTTCTAGTAGTAGTATCCATATGCGTCTTATTTTTCCATCTGACCATCTTGTTGAAATGTATAGTCATCTATAAATAGAAATTAAAAATAAGGTGTTTCCACATCAGCATTTTTAGGTCAGATAGAACTGTGCTTTTGAAGCAAGCCTCTTGGTAGTTCCCACTTACCATGCTTTGTGTTGCATTGTAGAGTTCTGAGTACTCAAGCTGGATTCCTTTTCACTTAACTAGAAGTGTGCTCCAGTACTAGGAGCATTCAGTCCTCAAGACCAGACTGCAACTAAACCAAAATGACCCCCCCAAGGCAAGCGTAGTGTGGATATTGTATATCTGGTACAATAAAATATTTGAAGACTGTGTGTTTTTTCAAGTGCTTTCTGAGCCAGTGTCATGTATGTTTTGCTGATGCTGTTCTCAAGGTTTCTTTTTTATGTTGAAATGACTATTTTTGTGGTTTTCTCAGAACTGGTTAAATTGGGAGCCTTCCTGAAAAAGCTTCCAAGTTACAGTTACTGCTGTAGAAAGCATTCAGTCTTAGGTAGCTTTGTTGTAAATATTCTTCGTAGACTAGTTTCCTTACCAGATATGCCACTGTGTATTCAAATGGGTAACATAGAAACCAATACAAATTATTATTATTTTTTTTTTCAATGTGTATTCATGGGGCTTTAAGACATCTTTCATTTGGGTATTTCTTTTCCTGTACATCACTGAAGGTGGTCAAACAATTACATTTTCTAGAAACTTGTTCAGACTTGATTTTTATCACAGAAATACTTCTGCGTTATCTGTTTCTCATCACAAGGGAAAACTTGAGACTGAGGTGACATCTTGTACTAGTTCTTTAATTTTCATGTTATGTCTTTTTGTTTTTGCGAATGAAAGGATTAGTGGATGTTTATTAAATATTTTCTATCAGTTCTGTTCTGGCTTAAGCTTTCAAAGGTAAGAACTGTCCTACACAGTCTGTATGCGTTAGATGATAGCATCCAGTTTACGTAAGACTGCCTAATTTCTTTTAGTGAGTTGCTCTTGAGTGACAAGTTGAAGTACTCTCCTTTTCTTTATTTTTCTAATAGCAGACAAGAGGATTGAAGCTGTCTGTTCGCATTATTAAAACTGGTTATGAATCTTCTTTGAATTCTAGTTGGAGTAGTCCAAGCATAAGTACTTTATGTATTTTTAAATAAAACTTTCATGTGGTACACATCTGATTTAGTTCTGGCATAGACACTGATTTAATTTTATGTTATGATTTTATGGATAAAATTTACAGTTTAGTTTAACATTTGTTGTATTAATCTCATGTGGGTTGAGAAACTGAGACTTATTTAATATAACACTCTGTCTAGAAGCTTATTTTATTGAGTTTACTCAGTGCTTGATAGATGCATTAAATTCACTGGTAATATTTTCCAGTCATGCCCTCAGATTGCTGCTAGACAAGCTTGATCTTGGTTTCCCAGACAACATGTATTTTTAAGGGATGTATGAAATACATCTTTTTGAGTTTCATATTAAGTGGAAGCTGTACCCTTTGTGCTTAGTGTAGCTTTCTACAAGTGTGCGTAATGAGTGTTTCTTCATGGAGAACATGAAAGTTGATTTCTTAATTATAGAATTTGCAGAAGTAAAGAAAACTAGTTTCTCAAATTAAGTGCAAAGCTCGTAGTCTTCACTTCAAATGATTTAGCTCTGAAATAATTCATAATACTTGCAGAAGAATAACAGTCTGAAATGGCCATTAGTGACAAACTCAACAGTTCATTTCACTGGATTTCGCTTACAGTTTGAGTTTAGTCTTCAGGAGCAAGCAGTGGAAGGTAACACAGTAACTAGTGCCTACTGACTGGCAATTTTACTAGCAAAGGACCCGTGATTAAATCTTCCTATCTGTTAATAGTTTTAGAGTAAGTATTGCCCTTTAACTGATATGATTATTTCAGCTGTTTTTTTAATAAAATGCTGTATGTGCTATATTTTACTACTTCTCTGTAGTGTGAGGTGCCTAGCATGCGTCCAGAGGCTGCTGAAGTGATGAGACATGATAGGCAAGGAGGCGCCAGTTTTTGTTTTGCCTTTTGCATTGATTTGAACTCTGCCTTGACTTACTGTTTTTGTATCAGAGAGGTCAGTTCCCAGAACTGTTGACCAATAGAAGATACTTAAAAAATAGGAGAATATAACATGTCTGTTTTTAGAATAGCAAGACCTATTTTCACTGAGGTAGTTTCAGTCAATGTAATTTGCATTTTAGGGAAAAAACCAAAACAAAATGGGTCAGTACTTCAGAAAGCTGTAGGTATTTCAACTTTCATGAAATACAGAAGAATGAGTAACTGATGAAATATTTCTAATAATGCTTCTAAAATTTCTAGTACACTTTGCCAGATGAGGCCAATAGGTAGTACATCAGATTACGGAAAACGACATTCTTAACGGTCAGAGACTTTGGTTTTGTTAAAATCTCGCTGATATTTCAAACTCAGTATATCCTGTAAGTTGTCTCTTTCATTTTAGATCTCAATTTTTTCCTGATTTTTTTACAACCTGCTTGCATCTATTGGGCCACTCTGCTCCATGAGTAGAAAAGTATTTCAGTACTGTTGAGTATTTTATGAGACAGAAGCCAAATCAGAATGTCACCAAATTAGAGAGCTGTGATAATAAAATGTGTATATAGTAAAATGATAAGTTGTGTGAAATAACCTTAAGAAATAGATCTCTGATTTTGATAGCACAGCATTTTTTGAGTGTAATTTTATTATATGCAATTGCAGTGGTGAATTATGACCACTAGTCTGTGCTAATGTGCAATTAATGAGAGGTTATTAGTGGCTTTCTGAGAATGAAAAAATGAAGCATTGCACATGGTGAATGTAATGGAAAACATCTTTATTTAGGTGAAGTTGCTTGTGATGGAGTTCCTGAATTAATCAGTAACCATCTTGCAACTTTATTAAAAATCGCTTCTTGAAAGATTACAAAGAATGCTATACTGCTACTGCTTTTTAGATCAATTAGGGCTTTTCTATTTGACTTTCAGTTTTGGGATTAACTGGTTACTTGACAAAAAGTACCAGTGCAGCATAGCAATTATGGCATACTAGAAAACTTTATGGAATTGGAGCCTAAATGTGAGAAAATCAAGGTTTTGATTGTCAGTGGACACAGGTGGGTTTAGAGCCACAAAAAGGTAAAGAAACTTGAAAAAAAAAGTTTTGAAACACTTTGAAAAGAAGGAATTCTATTTGCACAGTGAATGCATATGCCTTATTTTAGTGCATTATTACCATGGTATTTGGGCTTTGCTCTATTCGTTGAATGGGTAGAAAGGTAACTGCCATTTTGGGTCCTCTCAAACTTTTGGCACCTTTGTGTTCAAAGCTTGTTAGTCAGTGAGTACCTGGTATTGTACAGGTTCTTATTTTCTGTAGGCTTTTGTTGTCTGGTTGATGTGCAGAATCTGCTCTGAGTGTTTGTTGTTCTTGACTACAGTTTGATCACTTTGCCAAAAGTACTTACTGAAACTGCACCATGTTGATTGCTTCTCTCCCTTCTGCTTAACAAATCATCAAATGCCTGGGTATTTGAATGAGAAGCATATTCCTAATCATAATAGCAGAGGTTTGGATCATACATCTAAAGCGAGAGGTTTCCCAAAATATTTTAAGTGTTACGGTAGCTTTTTTAGAAGGCAGTTCTAGGAATTGATTGTGGGATCTGTGCTAGCCTTGCTAAGATTGGGTCTTCATCCTCAAGACCAACCAAGGACCCCTTTATTGAGCTCTACTAGGACTGTGTTCCCAAAAGGTCTAGTAGAAGTTACCACATTTAATTTTTACTCGCTGAGTCTGATTACCTGAACTGTTACGTTGGCAACTTGACATCTTCAGAGTTCTCTGAGCTTACCCTTTAAAGGCCAAGGAAGATGATACTGGTTTCTGTATGTGGATGAGTGACAAAGAGTCCAGTCAACAAAACAAGCCTGTTGGTTCCTTTGGCATGGTTCTAGGGACATGGGATAACAGAATAAGCATCAGAAACTTTTCACTTCACTTGTTCTGTTGACTGCATTGGGATTATGAGGAACTTTGTGTTGGTGAGCTTTTGCTCTGGCATCTTTCCGGATGGAGACATGCCTATCAGTTGGAGGGGTGGAGGACAGGTGGTCATATGCTTTTGTGTGAAACTAAGCATTTTAGCTTTCAAATCGTGCATTTGAGTAGTAGTCTTGGAGAGGTGATAGCTTGTTAATCTGCAAATGACATTTCTTTTGATGAGGTGACTCCCAGAGTTAGGACCCATCGTGCTCTTTAAGCAAATGCTTTAGATAGATTGTTACAGTTGCCTTTCAAACAGCATTTGGCCCAGGCCACTGATCTCATCAAAGCATCTGCTTATCTTCTGGAATTCAGAGCTGTAGTTAAAGTGTGTAAGATATCACCTTCCTGGAAACTTCTTTTTAACTCTGTATTTTAATACCTTTATGGCTGAGGTTGTAGTTCTTAAAATTATTAAAGTTTTCCTTTCCTCATAATTTTCACACTTTTCAGGCCATCCGTGAGTTTATTCATGTGATGGTAGCTGACATTTAGAAGAGTGTTTTTCTTCATGCAGAGTCTCTTCAGGTAATAGGTTGCATTCATACTCCCAAGACGAGGACGTTTTCACTGCCAGATTACGCTTTTAAAGTTTATATTAATTCAGTGACTCTGTTGAGAAATGTTCCTGACATATATACGTCAAGTGGCCTTTTAATGTGCATAATGATAATTCTGTGTCTCTTTTTGGTAGATCTGCTTGCGTAACTCTCAGGCAGATGGTAGTATATTTGTAAGGCTGTTGCTTGCAGTCACCTGAGGTAAGCATGCTTATGGACTGCTTCACCTGAAGATCAGAATATGAGTTCTTCAAGCTAGGTTGTCCATGTGTCTTTTTTCCTTGCTTCCATCCCCTCTAGTCCTTTATGAAGTGTTGCTTGTCTAGGAAATAGCTGCATTGTGCTCTGTTATCTCTGTGTTCTGAGCAGGAGTGTAAAGCATAAATATTTTTGTGGATGCTCATGATGAGAAAAAAGTGTGCAGTCTTATATCAGGATGTTTTTGTGGACTGTGTATCTCAAAACTGTTCCTTGTAAAGAGTTTCACTGTGTAGCTGTACAGATATGAACTCTGTAAAAATTATAAAATTTAAAAAGGCAGTAATGCAACAGATGACTGAATTTATCAGATTTGTAAGTTAAAAGTAATGAAACAACTGCTGTATAGCTAAATAACAATGTGCTTTCTGATCTATAGCTGAACATTGGCTCTGCTTGCTAAGTACAGCTCTTTCTGTTGTAAATCTTGGCTCATGACTTGCAGGTGCCAGTGGAATTGATCTTTGTGCTATTTCAGCTTTTCCAAGAGCAAAGCATTAGTGGAATATCCAGTAGCTAAGAGTCTTAGACTCCTAATATTTCTGTGCCAGTTTTCTGCACTGTGATGTAGTTTGAATAGAAAGCAACTTTAGAAGGGACACTGCTCTTTATATACAGATATATAAGGGATTGGGACAGAAGCTGACCTTGTGGTGTTTTGCTTGTTTCCTCACACTTCTTTGTAGAAAGTAATTTGTATCTGCTAGCTCTGGGGTATTTTGCTTTTCACCTCTGTTACAATAAGAACAGAGAGATGTACATTTGAGTGCATGCATTCTCTCTGCTTTTTCTTTAAGTTGTAGCTGTACCACAAGCATCTCGGCTAAAATGTCTCACCTCTACCAGCTGTCTCTGTAGCTTGTACCAAACTGGCATTTATAACTGATGATCTTAAGCAAAAGTCAGGAAATTTGTAAGAGAAAATGAACCTGGTTCTCATGACTTGCCCTTAAAATTCTTTGAACTGTCAGCTACCCAATGTCCTCTACAGGTTCTGTTGTTTTAAAAGAACATCAGTAAAACATACTGCCTCGTCTGATCTAGCAGTTGGTACTGTGTTTCACAGAATGTTAGCCAATGACACCAACAATTTGATCAGCCCCTGTAGTTTGTAATCACTATCTCTTGAAGTCATTAATGTGTGTTAATGAAGAACTATTAATTAAATTCCGTTTGTGGCTCATCTTAATCTTGTGTCATCTAAGTATGTTAAAAGTTAGACTCAAGTCTGTTGAATTTTAGGCCTTATTACACTCACTTCATACCAACCCCACATATCCCAGAAAGTGATTTGTAGCTAACTACAGTCAGAGGTCATAACAGTTGATGACTTAGGTATTTTATTAGCTTTTAAGTTGCTATAATTTCAGTATGCTTTTGTAGTGGTTTTCCTGGAGTAAGGCGGGGGTGTGTGTGTAGTACAAATGAATGGCATGTTTCAGTGAAGATTTGGAGGATCTGACTGTGTGAATTGTTTTTGTGTTTCTTTGGATTATTTTCTAAGGGGTATATCTCATGAAAAAAAGGTGTTGTGTAAAGTATTAGAGCAAATTATGACATGGCAAGCCTAGAAAAGTAGGTAGTGAATTATTTTAATGACAACGGCTATTAAATCACTAAGTTGTGTAGTTCAAACAGTGAATTAATCAAATATTGGTATTGGTGGCTTTAATCTAATTTGTCCTTTTTTTTTTTTTTTTAGTTCAAGAAAAGAATAAAACTATTTTCTTCTAGCTTGTTATTTTGCCAAAGTAACTAATTTGGATTCGCTGTTTAGCAGTTTGTTGCGTTTTGTCCTTTCAGGGAAAAATATTTCACTAATGTTTTTATTTCAGTTATTTAAATGTTTTTATTTCTGTGAACAGGAAATTAATATAATGCAGCTGTAACACACTGTAATAGTAAAAGCAATTTTTTTTTTAATTTATGGTGTGGTTTAACCCTAGCTAGCAACTAAGCCCCACATAGCTGCTCAGTCGCTTCCTCTCCCCCTCTCCCCCCCCCCCCCCCCTTTCCCCAAAAAACACTGATTCCAGCACAATCCAAAACAGAGCCTCATGCTAGCTACTATGAAGAAGATTAACTCTATCTCAGCCAAATCCAGTGCAATTCAGTAGTTTTCATAGACTTTTTAAAATGATCTCTCAACCTTAATTGTGTAATCCTTTTTTCTTTGTGCTATTTAATAAAATTGGAATCTGCTGTTGGTCCCAGTGAGAAACTAGCGTAGTATGAATACATAATAAAAAAAGTATGCTAAAGTATTTAATGCGTTTAGGATTGTGTGAGTGAAGACTGTGTGGAACTTTAAATTTACTTAGCTCTTACACGTTTATTATGAGAGCTTATGTGGCATCAGTTTGTGGCAGAGCCAGTTGGATCCTTGCTTTAAATACAAGAGAGATCTTTCTCCTTTTTGGCATACCTGCTTCAGAGGAATATTGCCAGAAATTATGTGCTGGATTAGACACTGTTACAGGTCACGTAGCAGAGCCTTTTCTGCTCAATTCCTTGGCTAATATTTGAAAACAAAAACAAGTTGTCATTTCATCTTCTGGAAGCATATTGGTTGTTCAGCCTGCTCACTTGCATGTGTTAAACCTGGAACATTTGCATCAGAAACTACCCTGGGTCCCTCTATACTGTTAATTACAGAACTGCTATGAAATAACCAAGTATGGAGGAAGTTGACAAGGTCCCTTCTCAATAAATGGTGACACACTGAAGGATTGATTTCTTCTAAGAAAGCTTGTATTTCTCACTGCTTCTCCTCCTAGAGATAGGATTTAACCAGTTATTCCTCTAGTTTAGCACTTGTTTTCCTGTGTTTTAAGTACAAGGATTGTGTGTGGGGAAAAATCAACCTTTTTAATCCACCTGTGTTTTTGTGCTGTAACATTTCTGTATGAGCTCTCATCAATTAATATATTAGTGATTAGATTTAGATTGCCTTATATAGAAAATCTTGTCAGTATTCTTCTATGCTTTGGCTTTCTTAAGATCAAAGGACATGCCTAGTTCAGGCAGTGTAGCTGGGAGTGAAGTTGGAGAAACACTATGCTTTTAATTGCATTCACCTGTACTTTTTTTTTTTTAATTTGGACTTTCTATATCCAGACTATTGGTTACACAAAACTGATACTTTTAGCTTCCAATAGTGAGGTCACCTCCCTAGCCAGTGGTTCTTGAGAGAAACTAGATTCTGCAAATGACATTTCCTGTTGTTTCCGTTGCTTCCTACTCTACCTCAAAGAGAGGACCTGTAGCTAATATTTTGCCATGTTTATTGGTGCTGATCTTTAATATCCAGGTATTTTTGAATGTCTCCGCTTTTTTCTGAAGTACAACTTGATCATGTTCCTCAGGGTTTGAGAACTGTTTTGCCCTTTTGTCCCCATTTGTATACCCAGTATCTTTGTATACAAAAGAAAGAACGGAGAGCTTATAGTTGTTTCAGCTGTTTGTTACTGGTGTTAGTGGCAGCACTGTTTATTTTCGTTTTCAGTCCTAAACCAAAGAAAGAGTTGTATGTTAGCAGAGCAGGAAGACATGATAAAATATTGTGTGCTTGGCTGTTTGAATAATGTCTGAAGACCAGCTTGCAGAAATCTGAAATTAGGGAACTGGATTTACAAAGGATGCATATTTAAATCAGATACTCCTGGGTGGGTGGAGACCCTAAATACACAGGCACATGAAAGAACAAGTCATAGCCTTACTTAGCTTAAAAGAAGTTTGACTTAATGGTTAATGGACATTTGTATAAGATACTAACATAGTGATAACTGAAAATCCCGATTTTGACATAAATGGTATACTGACAGAAGTTGTAGAAAGATCTCTTAACTTTTTTTTTTCTGTGATAGTTCTTTGTGTTCTTTTCTGAGTGTAGCTTCAACTTTTGGATTTTTTTGTTAATTGAGCTTGAGCAAATTTTTAATGCTATTTGATTTTGAGAATGGTAGGGGCTGTTTCCCACTATGTGAAACTTATAAAAATAGGGCAAGCCTGTTGCATGCCAAATTTCAAAGTGTAATAATTCTTAATTTCCAGACTGTGGTTTTGCTGAGCTTAAAAATTAATTTGAAAATAGCTTTTATCTTAAATGTTTCATGTTCTATTCTTTTTTTGGTGTGCTTTCTTCTCAGGTTTTTAGCAGAATACCATGATGATTTCTTCCCAGAATCTGCTTATGTAGCTGCATGTGAAGCCTACTACAGTACTAAAAATCCCCGGGCAATCTACTGAAGCTATTAATAAAGACTAAGTCCTGCTGTACGTAGCCCATCACAAAGCTATTTTGCCACAGGGCTACAAGATGAAAAAAGAAAACAACTTCTGGAGCTGAGGAAATAGGGAAATATCTTCTGTCATGGTTGGATTACTTGGGAATGGAGAACTTCTTTTCAGAGATGTGTATAGACTGCATTGTGAGTTGTTTAGGGGATTGAATAAAACTCCAACTCCAGATGAATGAAGAAGCCTTGTTCTGACTTCTAATGCATATAACTGCATAGAACTATTAAAGAGGAAAGGAGGCAAAAGCAGATGCATTAGCAACAGGACACTGTCATGAAGACAGATCATCATGCTGTTTCATTTTAGCTCAACCTCTTCAGCCTGAGAAATAAGACTTGACTACAAAGTTATATGAAAAGGATGTGTAACTGGTATCTTAATGGATTTTTTTCCTCACAAATTGAAAATTTCCCACAAAACTTCATTTGTGGAACTGGCATGATAGAAAAGATTGCTTAATGTAAAGGTATTTTTGCTGTTTGGCTAGCGTGACATCTGCCTCAAGAATGACTTTGTTGCCTGAATGAAAGATGTGTTGCTTATTTTGCATTTTGCAAAGGTGTATATAGCTCTTTTCATGCTAAGACTGCCGGAGTTCCAAGGCAAGTGTACATTGCCAGTAACTCAGCATTTACATGGCAATAAATGATTTCCAGAGCCATTATGAAAGAAGTGATTTTCTACACATAAGTAGAAAAGTCAATAAAGCAATGTCAGTTTAACTGGCAAACACTTATTTTCTTAATAAAATTCACACTGGCTGCTGTGTAAATGTGTGATTTTTGACTGTCTAAAACATGTTTTTTATGCTTGGTTAGTATTTTTGAGATTGGTGAGTGTGCATATGATGAGAGGTGGGAGCATTGACAACACAGGGAAAGAAGCCCTTTCTGTATCATTAGGTTTTATTCTACAGACTTGAAGGATGTCTCTTAGAGAGTTTTAAACACTTTAGCTCTGGAAATAGGGATCCAGTGTGAACTGAGTTCCTAGAAATCTGACAACAGGTTCAGTAGAAATTGAATTATAATTATTGTCTTGATTGTCATCAAAACCTCATCCATGACTTAGAACTCTGGCCTCAAGAATCCTCTGCTATGTCAAGAGAGACACAGCTTTTGAAAGAACAGGGAGAAAACAGGTCTCGGGGCTGGCTCACAGACTACTATATTAATCACTCTGTAATCCTTCCTAGTTCAGCAGTCTTCCATAAGAACACTTACCTGTAATGCAAAACTCAACACATTCCTCACAGATTTGCAGAAACTAGTAGTTAGGAATCATCTTTCAAGTGTAAATGGCAAACTTAGTATAAGAGGGCAGAGGAAATCTGAAATCTACTGTTGACATTCATTGTCACTCAGTTTTCAGAATGTACTTGTGTGTTAAAGCTTTTGAACTGAAAATATAAAGATTACCTTGGTTTTAGCAATTCAGGTTCTGCTTTTTAGAAAAACTTTTTTATAAAAGGTTCTGTTAAAGTTAACGGTTGTTAAACGTATGTTTGGCATGGATACATGCAGATCTGGTGATCGTTGCTTATAAAGATTTAGTAGTGCTACTCTACTGTGTTTCTGTTGTACCAGAAAAACATTGGTAAGCTTTAGTCTTTCTCAAATTACAGAAGTTTTGAATCTCTAGCAGAATCCATGTACCTCAATATCCACTTTGCAAACATGTTTCATTCTAGGTTTAGACCCTGTCTTTCTAGAAGGATAGTCCAACAAAATACTATTGACTATCTAACAAGAGATTCATCTTGGAATATTGCCTGAAAGTTAATCCTTTCTATTGCAAGAATGTTAGAGTATGTATAATATGGCAAATCTGTTTTTGTTCTGCCGTTGGTACCTGTGAGTATAGGGCAAGTTATGAACAGTTTAAACCTTATTGTGTCACTGTTTTAACTGTTAAAATGACAATTTCTGCATGCAGGGGTTTTTAATACTGTCTGTATTGCCTTGTCAGTACATTGTGATGATTCTCAAAAGATGGGAGGGGGGAAAAAGTCTGAAGGTCCAGTTAGTGTAATCTTTATATGAACAAATTTATAAATTTCTCTTGAAGCTGTTATTGGTTGTAATATTACAAACTATCTTACTCTCATAACAAACAAAAAACTTTTCTCAAAAGTAGCACCATTTTGCACCGTGACACTTGACATGACTTCCCCAGACACTCTCTCTTGGAATTTAAAAAGTTTAGGTTTATATATTCATTTACAGTAGTGTGCATCTTTGATATTTCCCTTCCCTACTGTCAGTCTTCTTTTACTGCTTTCCTATTTTTATACCTGATTTTTTTTTTTTTAAGTTGCGGCAGTGCAAGAGACTTGCGAAAAATTGAACTAGATTGTGTAAGAGGGTAGCTCTTCTATAGAGACTTACCAATGTGGCCCCCAAAATTCACTTTGATTGGAATATTCAAGGACTCATGGGGCTAGAGGAAGCTTAATAGCATAGCTACACTGCTGGTGTGAATCTATAACTCTTTGAATGTCCTTGACTGATTAGATTTTTGATGGAATTCATATCTACCTGAACTAATGAAAGAGATTTCTGCACTTAGCTGTTTGTCATTTGTTGGTTGCTGTTTGTAGAGCTGCTGGTATCAATGTTTTCTAACCTGATTCAGTCAAAATGGCTTAGGATAGCTGAAGAGATGTGAAAACCTGACGGAAGCAGGCTAGGGAGCATTCACATGAGCAAGTCTGCCAGCAGACTTCAGAGACAGTCTCCTGCAGAGGAGCTGAGCTGAGAAAACAGGTTAACGGGCAGTGATAGTTTACGCTGGCGTAACTGTTTGCATAACTCGCATTTGCTCTCATTCCAAATCAAAGGTTTTTTTGTTTGCATATTTAAGGAAATTATACCAGTGTAATTATAGTGCATACTTATACTGGTAAATCTCTGTGCTGAAGAGAGTAGACTGATCCAACATGAGGTGTGGTGTAGGGTTTTGAACATGACCGTTCTTGGGAGAAGGCAGAGGAGAATAATCACAGCCTCAGATTAGAAGCAGGTAATGCAGGTGATGTTGCACATAAATCGTGCTGCCACATAAGTGCCTGATATGCTCAGTCTGCAACGGATACTCCTGATTTCAGTACCTGCTCTGACTTTGTCAGCACGAAGGTACCCGAGTAACTTGACACTGTGCCACAGAAGTATGAAACTAACTGTACATAAAGTGATTTACATAGATTGTAAAAATTACCAAAGGAGAATATATGAACAGAATGTAACTTTAATATTCTTCAGTTTTATTCCTCATTTTAGGCTTTACTTTGATGCTTCAAAAAAAATCCCATACTGTTCTTTAATGTGCGCCAAGTTGCTGTGTTGCCTTTCATTTTGATACCGTGTTGCTATGTTTTTCAAGCTCCATTTCAGGCTCCTGCTTCAAAGCTCAGGCTTTCATGCAGTGTTCTCTTCTGCTGAGACGATTGAGGCAGATGTGACTGAGGCGGATGTGACCAAGTGCTAATTTAAAGTATGTTCCACGTCCTGTTCTGAAAGCAAGCTCATGCAGATATTAGTGTTTCACTTGGCATTTGGTCTGGCTAACAGTGTGTGTGTGGTCAGCTGTTGTCTTGGGAATGTTTAGTGGGAACTTGTCAAACAGCAGTGCAGGATGACCTTGCTCTGGATTATGCTGACAGGAATGTCTGCAGTCAAAGAGGAAATAAAAAGCTGATTGGAAGTAAAAAGCTGTTACTGCTTTTCATGTTTGCATCATAGAAAGTGTTATCAAAGTGTTATTGCAAAATACACTGGAGAGATAGTTATTGGAATTAAAAAGTAGATGTATAAATTAAATCCTTCATTTCTTGAAAATTATACATTTTCCTCTCTGGAGTCTTAAGCATGTCTCCCAAATAGGGATGGAATAATACTGGAGTGGAATATGCTTTTCAGGGCAGGGGGGAAGGAAGCAACATGTATTATTCTTACCTGAATCTCAGTCAAGCCTTTATTCTGGTAGTTATCTGTACAAAATCATAATGCTGACAGCTCTTGGACAGATGGCTACATCTTAACTTCTGGCCTGGTGCGTATTTGATCACTTTTAACTTCTTGCTTTCCAGCTTTGTTAAGAGGTCAAGTTTGCACTCCAGAGCACAGGAACTCTACTCTCTAAATTCACAGAGAAAATGCCAAATAGCTGCAATGCAAGCATACTTAGGCCAAATGCATCAAGAAATACGTTTTTGTCCTGTGTACTGTAGATTTTCCTTTGTGATACAAGGTGGTTGCCTTTAGTTGCATTAAGAAGTCAAGTCACCTATTTATTTTTCTATGTAAATACATCTTAGTATAATGGGATTCCCTGGAACCACGGTTCTAGATGGTGTGTTACTTTCAAAATGTGTTTGACCATAATCAGTACAACCTTGATGTGTTTACATAGTCAATTTTTTCACTTGCTTATGAAACAATTAATTTAAAAATAAGTTTTCAGCTTTTGGTATAGCTACATCTTTTTTTTCTGTATGAAATTAGTGAGTACAGATACTATACTTCTACAGTCAGGGGTACCAATGCAGTGTTTCTGCCTTAATTTTTGGTGGTTTTTACCTCAACAGCAACAACACTCCCTGCTTATCCCCGGCCCTCCACAGCTCCCAAAACAAAGTTTAAAATGTACATTGCCTTGGGAAAATGCTATCAGCGGTGACTGAGTGGCAGATGTAGATGCTTACTAAGATCTAACTGAATGCATCCTCCCTGTTGCATGCATTATGTATTTTCCCCTTTTAATTCATACAACAGATGACTTTTTTGCATTTAAGCTAAGGATTATAGCAAGCTGAATAAAATCAGTGAAGTATAAATGTGTGCTCAAAGATGAAAAGGAGAAATATGTTTAAGAAAAAAAAAGCACATGTTCCTCCTGTATGTCAGTTGGGAGTGGTCGCTCACATCATGTGGATAACATAATAATAAAAAGAATGAACAAACCTGTGAGATGAAAATTGATAAATCCTGGCACTAATACAGACCTTTAGAAGTGTACACTAAGGAATGGAGTAATTTCTCTGTTCTTTTGTTGCTAGAAATTGTGGAGCATTTTGATTGAGAATTACTTTTTCTCTTGCCAATACAAGATATTGGGTCTACTTCTGGGGAAAGCAACCCAGGTATTCAAGTGTTGAATCATACAATATGTTCATGGGGATATTTCAGTGTGATGCCAGAAAACAAAGTGTGTTTATATAGCGAGAAATGTAGAGATAAATGTGTTTAGTTTCTGGCAAGATGAACAGCAGACGTT